TATTCATTGTAGATAATGATATGATTTGCGAAGCATGCAGCAATACCTATTGATCGCCCTTATCATCAAATGTTTGTCTTCTTAGCATGATTGATATATATATATATTATATATTATATATATTATATATATATATATATATATAATATATATATATATATATGATATAAATATATAGTATATATATTATATATATAGGTATATATATACATATGTATATATATATATATATATATATATATTATATATATATATATAGTATATATATATACATATAAATGTGTAGTATAATATATATATATATATATATATATATATATATATATATATATATATAATATATATATATATTATATAATCAACATACATATATATATATATATATATATTATATATATATATATATATATATATATATATTATATATATATAGAGAGAGAGAAGAGAGAGAGGAGAGAGAGAGAAGAGAGAGAGAGAGATATATATATATATATATATATATATATATATATATATATATATATATATATGTATATATATATATATATATATATGTATATATATATATTATATAGTATATATATATTATATACAAATATGTATGTATGTATATTGTATATGTATATATATACATATATATATACATATGTATATATATATTATATATATATATTAATATATATATATATATATATATATATCTATATATATGTATATGTTATATAATATGTTATGTATGTATAATGTATATATGTTTATAATACATATATATATACATTAATATATATATATATATTTATAATATATATATATAATATATATATATATATATATATATATATATTATGTGACACACACTCACGGCAATATGTGTGTATGTGTGTGTGTGTGTGTGTGTGTGTGTGTGTGTGTGTGTGTGTGTGTGTGTGTGTGTGTGTGTGTGGTGTGGTGTGTGTGTGTGTGTGATGTGTGTGTGTGTGTAAAAGTTTCCATGTGCGTCGGTGTCTGTATGTGAGCACTTACTTTTCGATGCGGAATTGTCAGCGTTCAGCTTCATAATCTAATCATTACCTTACACTATCATATGTGTATACGTGGATATTCACTTTAGTTCATGTGTTGGCATCGATAGCGTTTTAATGGCTTTTGAATATTAATGTCTTTGTTGTATAAGGTTTCAACTTTTTCAAGTATCTACAACTTACCGCTAAAACAACCCTGTCCGGATAACGTATCTCAACGGATACATTTATTCCTTATCTCTCCTTTGCCACGAGAAAAGGGAAAACAGCTATCTCGCTCTGGCTCCCACGCCCTTCGCTTCTCGACGCATCGGATCGCCTCATGGCCTACCGCCTCGGCCTCGCTCTACCTTCGTCCAGCAAACTAATATTTCGACATTCTTTTGTTCCCAACGTCGGTCTCTTTCTCTATTCGTTGTTATTAACCTCTTCAATCGCCGTGATTCCTTCTTTTGATTAAAATTATATCAGATAGATTGAGTAACTTTGATAAGGTCATCCGATTCTTCTCTTCTCCCCATTCACCTTCGTCATCAATATATTGCTTTGCACTCATGGACGCAGCTTGTTGCCGCACATGCGCTCTCGCTCTGCAGCGTCCATCTGAGAGAGAGAGAGAGAGAGAGAGAGAGAGAGAGAGAGAGAGAGAGAGAGAGAGAGAGAGAGAGAGAGAGAGAGAGAGAGAGAGAGAGAGACTTGACTAATTCTTACATTGCATATTTTTTAAAGGAATAGCGTACTAGAAACTAAGGAAGCTATTAGAAATTACAGTTTTAATTTATAATGTTTGTACTCTGTACTCCATTTGAATACATTAATACCCTTTTTCGCTTTAGTCTGCTGGGATATATGGCACTGTTGTGCTTTGTATTTAATTTTAGAGGCGTTTAATCAATCATTCTGTTTTGCATACTAGCCATGCACTGTACCCTGCAGCGGCGTTTCCTAGCCTATTATTATGTATTATTATTTCATTCATTATGCACCACATAATTCTACAGAATCATTATTGCTCAAAACTATAGCTCCATTGCATAGAATCAATAGAACGCTACTTGGTGTCACTATAATAGGCCATTTTAATTAGAAAATCAGCATAAGACTAAAACCTGATTTAACTGTGTAATTGATGAAAATTCAAATATTTAAGCACTCCGATATTATTGCAGTTTCAAACCTGGATTTA